TAAAGACTGCAAACACTGAAAATCTTGAAGTCTGTATGAAATTGGAGGTAGTTTGTGGATTCAATTTTTTATGCTTTTTAAGCTCAAAAAAGGGGGGCTCGTATTATACATGAGATGTATTATACACGAAAAAATACGGTAATTAACATGTTTGAGGTAATTTTTCTGTTTTTCTTGTAGAAAACTGAAGATAATAGTCTGAAAACACTAATATTTTCAAAACTTTCTTTTCATTTTTATATTTTAATAATACTGACGCAGACCTGGAAAACATTCAACAAAGTACCTTAAAGTTGGGCTGTGCGAAACATCGAGCCACGGCGATCATGGAGGCGGTGAGCGGGCCGGAGACGCCGATGGTCGACAGGAACTCGGAGATGTTCGGCGTCAGGCGGAACGGAACGGGTCGATTGGCGTCCAGGTCACCCGTGGCGTCGTTGATGTCGAAGCGGAAGTACGACACGTTCAGCTTGCCCGTGTCCTGAGAAATGACAAAGTGGTGAGTTTAAAGAATGTGCCAGCAGTTTTATTTTAATTTACACAAACCAAAAATCAAAGAGTTATAAATATTCTATTTTTCGATATTCTAATACAGGCGGTTAAAGACTAAAAAATCTTATTTTGAAAGGTCACACGAACAAAATGGCTGCCATTATTGATCTTTGTGACCCAGACACAGTAACATGTCAAACTATCTRCAGCAGAGCATCAATAATCCTCAATTCACTCCCACTCCCCCGTCTCCTGCTGCTCCCCGCTGACTTAAATATATACAGTCGGGTTTTCATCTCTTAAGCCTGCATTTATGTGCGGGAGGACTGCAACACAAGCAGCCATTCCAGGAAAGATAAGCTCCCTAATATAAAAAAGTGAGTAGCTCTGACAGCTTTATAGTGGCGCATTTCATTCGCACTCCTCCCATCTTCACCTCTCCACCCCCACTCCTTTCCTCCTCCTTAACTCCCTCCTCTCTCACCTACTGTCATTTTCTTTAGCAGGTCCCTGCAGAGGGCCTGGAGGCAGTGGGCTGAGACACCGGCAGCTCCCRGGAGGCTCAGATAAGCCGGCAGAAAGAGCCGGCAGAGGAGGCAGCGCTCTGAATGCTAAATCACCGCACCAGCGCCCGGCGACGGCTTCATTTAGAGGCCGGCATGAACGAATGGTGCTAAATTACTGCTCTGACTTGGTTCTGTGCACTTGAATGTTAAGAACAGGTAACGGGCAATTTTCACCTYAAATGTAAACAACTAAAGTAAGCGATGTTGTTGAGAAAATCAAACCTCATAACACTGGGGTTAGACACAGAAAAAAAAAAGATCTTTGTGGGACAAATTTTTTCAAGGAAAAAGAAAAACTCAAAACTTAGCTTTAACTGCCTAGAAATTTTTTCTAATAAACTTTGCAAGTCTAAAACTGCAAACACAAAAGCTGGAGAGTGGCACAGTTCATTCAAATAATGCTGCATGAAAAGAAAAACATAAATAACTTTAAATACTCACTTTAGTATTTCCCTAACAAAGASACAAAATACTTGGAGAAACTACTGAATAAGACAAAAGAAAAATTAAAATTTATTTATTAAATCCTAAYTAGACAAAGGGTCTGCAAGGATCAGAACTTAACATTTAGTGGTATTTTTCCACTTTGGGACAAAGTAAAACTTTACAAAGAATGAAAAGATTTCTGTGACACTTTAATATATTTATGGATAATTAATAACTTTCACATTTTGAAATAAACATAAAACTCAGGCATTTGTTTAACTGTGACATTTATTTTTCTAATAAAGACCTTCATTTTCTTTATTTCCAGTTTTTATCAAATTCTATCCTTGACCTTTTATTCTCATAATTAAAACGACTTGTCATAATTTTGCAAAAGGTCTTGTTTAATTCAGCTGCAATATAATAATTTTTCATATGTGTTAAATCTTCCCCCCACAGCAATTTGCCTCAAATGTGTAAAAATATATATATTGCATATTAAAAATTGTTAAAATGTACCTTTCCAATTGTGGTTCTAAAAATACTATATCATATCATTTCTGTGGGGTTTTTTGGGGTCAAATAAATTATTTTTGTTACTCCAGAAAAACTAAATGAAAAATCAGAGGTCTGTGTTGAGAGTTGCATCCCCTGGGCCCAGTGTTCAAACAGTCCTTTCTATTCTTTAAGTTGTTTCACCTTTGACCCAAAAGTCTTCTTCAGCCCTGATTTTTCATTTAATGTTGTACATTTAACATCTCACGTCAATAAGAACACATATTCGGGTAACAACAATGGTTTTGATTTGTTCATGTTCCAGCTTGGGCTCAGCTGGKATAGCTGTTGCCTCTCAGCAAGAAGTTATGAGTGAGTTTGCATGCGCTCTCATGCATGTGTGGGTTTTCTCCGGGTACTCCGGTTTCCTCCCACCGACCAAACTCTAAAACTGCCCCTAGGTGTGAGTGAGAGTGAATGGTTGTTTTTTTCTCTATGTGGTCCTGTGATGGACTGTGACCAGTGACCCCCGTGACCCTGAAAGGAAGAAGCAGGTAAAACCTTCGCTCCAGCTTGKGCGTCCTGTTGAAATGAAGATAGGATAAATAAAAAAAGTGTTCTTTTCGTGTTTTTGTTTTTCCTTTGTTACACACGTTCTATAAAAGCCCACTCAAATCTGCTTGTGGCTGTAGATTTTCAAGGCTGTGTGTTTACACTGTCCCACTCTCTAGCATCCACACAGTTTATTTGAGAGGTCTCTTTTCATTTATTGGGTTGGTGATGTCGTATGTCAGTGAGAAAGGCAGAGCAGTGTAAGAAATAGACTGAAGTCAAGTCAATATGAAAACCACCAATTGATTTGTAGAAGGAATAAAACCATACAACACCAGAATTCTGGAAYCGAGTGGKTTTATTGCCAAGCGGAGCTGACAGGAAACCACACTGACCAAAAGCCAGGAARTGCATCAATTTATACATGATTCTTCAATGCCTGAGTTCGCCCCCTACTGACCTACGGCTGAATTACAGGCATTCATACACAAGTCTCAATCTAATGTTATAATACCGTTTCAATTATGTGTTGTTTATAATTCGGACATGTAACTACTCTATATCAATCTACACATAATAGATCAAACATTATAAAAAGGAAACCCTAAGAATCTAGTGTTGTGCTTCTAACATCAGTACTAACCTGTAATAACTAYAAATTTCTTCAGCAGAGTCCAAGCAATAAAACCTAACCAAGAGGAAATTTATGAAACTCAGAACACTCCATTTGTATTAAACGTTCCTGGAGATGCTCTGTCAATCCCCTAAAGACCTTTTGCTTGAAACTTGCTGTTGAGCTGTTAAATTGGGCCTTTTAGCTGAATTTAGGCCAGATGAACGCCACGCAACACAGCCTTCCTGTGGATGCCTCACAGCTTGATTGAGCTCTGAGAGGGCCAACTTGAAGAAACAGAAGGTTTCAGTTTAAGCGGGGTCAGGGACAATGTTTCGGCTGCGCTGTCCTGTCCTTGCACTCCCTCTGTGTTTGTATGTGCGTACGCTCTCCACACTATAATCCTCCTGTGTCTAATGGGATCTGTGGAGTGGAACAGGCAGAGAGGGGGCTTAATACAGCCGCTTAGCTGCCCAGAGGAACGCCTGTCAGCAAAGGCCGATTAGGATCAGAAGGGAGGGGTGGCCGACTGACACAATCATCTTTAATAATGACTTCGAGAAAGCCGTCTGCAGACTCTCAGCAGYGGACAGATGTGTGTCGACAGAGAGGAAAATACACACAAACACGAGCTCTTCGAATTGAAACGCCTTTGAGCAGAGAGACAGAATATAAYGCTCTGTCAAAACACCTTTTACATTGACAGAGGCTGACTGACTGATAGGCCCAGCGTGAAAGTCATGGGGGAGAATTGTAATCCATCCAGCCCAATATGGTGAGAGTAATAGTGATCTCTTAATGCATCTAGGTGTGTATATCTATTAAATTAGCTCCTGTCAAACAGACGCCTTCTTGCCCTTGACAGAAAACCCAACACGCAGAATATCCTTTTGCGCGTCCTACCTGTGCTATCTGCAGCATCTCAGGATTGAGACGGTTGAGGTGGAGCATGAACTCTGCCAGGCCAATGAGGGCCAGCTGAATGGTGAACATCTTCCTGAACGTCCAGTAATCTGTGGCGTTGGGGAACGTGTGGAGAGCCCACTCCTTCAGCATGCTGCGAGGAACCATGTTACCCTGGACTTCTTTCAGGATGTCCCTCAGCACCTGAGGGCCAAATCAGGAGCAGAGGTTAACTGAAGATGTTAAAATAAAACTTTACCAAGCAAGCACATATTCCCTCTAGGAGTGGGAATCTTGAGACAACTCAGAATTTGATTTATAGAATTTATATGGCAGTACTGCACTTTGATGCATCCCATTGTGAATACTTGGTAGTTTTATAACAAAGTATTTGTATATTTCCAATTAATTTGCTTCCAGTGTCTCACTGAACAATCTTGTGCACATGTCAGTTGCATGCACGCCATAGACCACATATCAAACTCAAGGTCCGCTGGCCAAATGTGGCCCGCCAAGGCATTTTATATGGTCCGCGAGAGTTTCAAAAATGTACTAATGTCCTAAAATAAGTGCATGCTGCTTTAAAGTCAGCACTGACCATAAACTACGTCTCCCAAAATTCATGTCGATTATTTTACCTGTGAAATGACGGCATCTCATCACTAGGTGGAGGTGCACATGGCTCAAAAGKAGCTGGCAGGCGACAAAACTCACTGTGTAAAATCACCATATCACTGCATTTTCGTTGACTAGTTTAGCTGCAGCCCAGTTGTAGGGGTAGGAATCTTTTACTCTGTTAAGATTCGATTCGATTCTGATCTTTGGAGCCACGGTTCTATTCAAAATMGATWATTTTTCWTTCAAAACTGATAATATGAGCCCATTTGTCGTGKTCCAAAAGYGCTTCATCTTCATTTTGCAAACCTCGTATACCTYGCTCAGGTCAAACTCAGACTTATTCAGTAGAAAACAAAATGAGCCCAAATCTTAACATTCAGTGAAGACAGGGCCGGTTGAATCTCTCTTTCCTCCAGTTTTGTAGTTTCCTCTTTGTTTTGGTGCTTTCTGCACATTCATATGTTCCAGAAGCAGCTCCGTGTGACGTCAGGACGTTCCAAGTGGTTACAAAATGGAGGCTGACAGCCTTTGGATTTTCTTCATTTCTTTTTTTTATAAAAATTGATTTTGGGACATTTTAATTCGATTCTGAATCTTTGAAAATGAGAATCACAATTCTGATGTAAAATGATTTTTTTGGTGCACCCCTTCCCAGTTGTATGGGGAAGTAGGAGTTTCCCACTTACGACTCGTATATTTAAACTGGAACGAMCCGTTCGGTGAGAATTCCCTGTCGGAAAGTGGGAATGTTTCGAATACAAGCTGGCAGCTACTCACCCCCAACTAAAATGTGAGTAAAACTCTTAATTTTACTTTTAATAGCATTTATGTACTATTTATTTCATGTTTAGTCAGTTGTACATGTAGCATTTTTCAGTGTTTATGACAGGACATGTTGAAATGCTGTTTTTACGCACAAATTACCACGTAGAGCTCAGTTATTGTTTGTTAGCTGTGCTCAGATGTAGCAACGAGATGAGGAACATGATGTTTCGTGTTTAGTCAGAATTAAACACGAAATGTCAAAGTTTATTACAACTGGCCATTTAATGAAAAGCATAAATGATCGATACTCCTGCCGAAGACAAGGGATCTGCACTTCCATACTACAAAGTTACACTTTGTGTTCCTCAATATTACAGTATCATCATAAACAACGCTGATATGTGATGGATCTAAAAAAAATCTCCACGTAGAAAAAAAACCTTGATGAATGATGATTTCTTTTTTGGAATAAAAAATAATATAAACCTTTCTGCCTACAATTTGTTACAAAACTAAAAATAAAACAAAGATTTTTCCTTTGAGCAAATAAAGGGCAACACCAAGCTGTGTGGTACCAGATAAGGTTTATGGCTGGATTCATACCTGGTGGCTGGCTTGTGTGCCTCGAGCCTGCACAGTAGCTAGACGGTCATAATATCGGGAGATGGGGTTGTCGTGCTCGATGCCCTTTTTCGCACAGCGTTGTTTGTAAATTTCCACCAGTGACAGAGACGAGGGGTTGTCCTCAACAAGCCGCATCTGAGGTGAAACTGCCACCACTCGAGGAACTGGAGAAACAGAGAAAAGAACAGGAAACGAGTGGGGAAAGCGACAAATTAAGAGGGGAAAAAAATAGARATGAAGGAAGCAAAGTAAAAAGAAAAAAATAGGAGGGAAAAAGAAAAGCAGAGTTGGAACAACCACATCAGTAATAAAGAAACTGTAAACTTTTGGCTTCACTTGCTAGCAAACAAGTTCTGTTTTACCACAAAGTAAACCACAGATCCAAACCTACAACAAAAATACTCCGTTGGGAAAGAGCTGTGCTGAAGGCGTGCCACGGAACAGCATGAATAGTAAATGCAGTCTAAACATTTACACAAAGTGGCACTTTTTACCAAATCAATACCTGCTATTCCAGTTGGAAGGAAATGAGCTGTTCCTCTTAAACAAACCATCAAATGAATCAAATAAACAGCTGAGTGGAAACAACAGGACAGGAAATGGTGCTAAAACGTTAATTAAAAGGGATCCTAATAGATATAAAAAACCACATGAGAGCGTTTCCCTTTCCTCTGTGTTTGTCTTTTACTATCATCCTGGTAAAAATCAGATTTCTATATGTTTCATAGGCTTGTGCACACAGGCTGCTTCCTTATCGTACCAGTGAAGAAGAGGTGCCTCTTGGTGGTCTCCTTCCTCTTCTCCAAACAGGGGTTGAGGAGGCGGAGAAGCTGCAGGACCCTCTCCTCTCGGCGCGACTCGGTCAGACAGGCATCGTTCATCACCAGGTAGTGGTAGATCTTACCGTTGTGGCCACGGATATAAAGACGGCGTGCTGCCGTGTTGTGTTTCTGAACAATTTCTACTCTGGGCATGAACCTGGAGAGGGGGGGGAAAAAAACCAAAAGGATGAAAATTTCTGGCTTCGTTTTTATACCAGTCGTCAACCACAGCCTGAATAAATTCCACATTATGATCCTTACCTGGCGATCTTGATGTAGTAGTGCGTAGGTTTGGGCATCAGGAATTCGCCCGGGATCTCCACTTCAGCGGTTTGGGCAGAGAAATTGCTCAGGAAGCGACACTTCTCCTCGATCAGGAAGAATTTGGGAAGCTGCTTGGTCTTAGCCTCCAAAATCTTGATCCACTTCTTCAGTTTGGAGATAAGGTTGTGAAGCTTCATGGAGCCTGGCACACTGAAGTCAAAGTCTGTTTAACAAAGGGAAAAAAAAAGGACAAATGTTGGCTTTTTCCACTTAATTATTTCTCTTACTCAGTGACTACTTTCCTCCTAGTTATATTCCTGGCTGTGATAAAGGTATTTTTAATAAGACTGCTTTAAAATATTTAGTATCCTTCATACTTTTTGAAAAAAAAGGAGAAAAAATATAAAACAAATTGATGCTTTGCATGCAATTCCCATAACCCTCAGACAGGAAAGCAGTTATAATGTCTCATGTGTTAAACTTTGACCTCTGACTTATTTTGGGCTGCAAGGCTCCAAATGCTGCATGTGCTTCAAGAARATAACCCACTGAAACACTGTAGAGGGCAGCTCCAACATGTTTGTGTGAGAGAACTTTGAGTTTCTTTTCATTTAAAATACCATACTTAAATCATATCGTTGAAAGAAACCACTTACACCAAGGCCATACTCAAAAGTCCAATGTAACCAATGAGAGTTTTACCAGGCCTATTTGAAACTACAAGGTTAAAAACACCAGGATTTGAGGATTTATCATAGTTAATACAGTCAGGGTTCTGACACATTTTCTATCATAAAATTCCCTACATTCCCAGACTTGAATTGTAAACATTTTCTGTGGACTTTTGAGTCTACTCCGACATATGCTGTAAGGCTGGGCCTTGTGACAGAAAAGCTGCATTTGTAAAACAAGATTAATGATCCACAGTTAGAGAGCCATATACCATGCGAGATGCTACTATTGGAATTAACTTGAGGTCCACAGTCTCCTCTGAATGCAACCGTATACTTCCAGTGGGCCACAGAGACTTACTGAAAGCAATCAAAGAGCAGCTTATAAAACTAGAAAAAAATTAAGAAATTCTTCCAGACAGATAGTTTAAATACTTTTCCAGGCTTTATCTTCCTTTTTTTTCAAACAAACTTTACCTGGCACCTGTGCTAACAAGGTTGATAGCTTAAAAACAGGCACATTTAGGTGTTGTTTATTTTTTTTAACCTATGTTCTGGTTCTGGAATCATAATGGGTTCTTATGCATAGCATTCATTTCAATGTCTCACTGTGTCATGTTCCAATAGTGAGACATCTCATTCAGCTACTCTAAGATCTGGAGTTTTTGATCTTGCTAGCCTTTTGATTGTCCTTTCTGAGCTACTGTAGAAACATGGCGGTGCAAAATGGTGACCCCTATCCGGTGTTGTTTTCATTAAAAGATATTGAGGACTTGGTAGCAACTGTCCAACGACCACTTCTGGCCCTCTGGTCATATTGCTAGTATGTGGTTGGATCAAATCTTATTTTAAAGGAGACCAATTATGGGTCCTAGAAATTTTTGTGGTATGTCTGTGGGCTATCCAGACCATGTTCATTCAATTTAATGCACAAAATAATTCTCAGATAATAAAATTTCCCATTTTCTAGTTCTGCCTGCTCTGACTTCTGTTCAGAAGAGCTGTTTATGTTAGTGAGCTCTGTTGGTAACGCCCTCCAAAAATCTGTTGACATTAACTCCGCCCTCCAAAGCCAGCGTTTGCGTTAGCATGGCTAGTAATAGCAGAAGCTCCATTGTACAACAATATGAGACCCAGAGGCAGAGTCGGTCACAGCTTCTTTCTTTTTTTTCTCCCCCTCCTCTGCTCTGCCCTCACTCTGCATGCTGTTACCAGAGCAGGGAGCAGCAGCGGTCAAAATACCTCAGAAACTCGAACAAATAGGCTTTAACAAGGCTTTAATAAGCYAAACAATAGAGGTACATGAGAAAACGTGTTCATAACGAACGAAAATAAAAAAATTATTAAATTGTGACTGTGCCAGTCTCAAACCCTGGTCTCCCGCTCTCTGGTCCAACACTCTACCCATTGCCCTATTGGAGCTTGTTGTGAATAGAGCTGCACATTGCACAACAACATGGTGACGGCTTTTTATACGGAGGAGGAGGAAGCTCACTCGGGGGTTGCTAGGTAAGGGGCTGAACGCAGGTTCCGGTGGGTTGTCGTACGGCTTGTGACATCACAAAATGATGGAAGTATAAAACTTGTCATTAATATACATTAAAAATACATTTACTTACAGTAAATATGCCCCTGGGTGCATTTTTTTGGTCCTAGAGCTGGTTTTTTAAGAAGCACATTCCCAAATTTGAGTAAAAAAACCTTTAAAAAGTGAATTTTGCATAATAGGTCCCCTTTAACAAACTTCAAACTTCAGACTAAAAATACTAAAACACAAGTCTATACTATACTTTTAATACTGCACAGTACAATAAACAAAAACACAAAGTTACAGTAAAATATTGCATATAAATTTATATGAAGTGTCTATAAATACCACTGATCACTCAGCTTTAACAGTGATTTGCTTAAAGTGACATGAAAGATAAATTAGTCATGACAGGTCGGCCGCACTAGCTGAACTGCTTTCTTCATCGCCTTGAAGCTCCCTGGCAAAGTCTGGAAGTTGATTAAATTAAAGCTTTAAAACTGAGAGTTTTAGAGTATTAAATTTCTGTTTCAAGTCACAACTCATATTGCACATAACATATTGTGATGAGCTGCAGCACTTACAATTGAAGCAAAAGAAGTGAGACAAGCAGGTTTTCCATTTTAAGAGCAAAACCCTCTGGACATTTTTTTGTAACATGGACACACGTGCATGCACAAACACAACTGCTTCTCTTATTTCAGTAACTCCGTTTTGCTGTCCGTTATAATGGATCCATGAAACTGCGAGGCTGTGCCGTTTCAAACCTCTGCAATCTCTCAGAGTGAGACCTCCTAATACTTTAAATAAGCCCTTTAAAATAGCCAATGTTCTTTTCGAAGAGACCCTATTCCACTATCTGTCTTCTTACAATTCAGCTGCTTCAGTTGCAGAAGTAAAATTGAAATAGTCCTGTGAGATTACAGCTGGACAACTGTAATAAAAAAATAAATTAGCGCACACAAATAGAAAAAAAAAAAACAAAAGTCTCCTTTGAATTTAGGAAGCAATATCACAAACTCAATCATTATTGGATATTAAAAAAAAAGATGAAATCTTAACAGAAAATAAAGACATTTTCTCTGAAGATACTATRTGTATAATTTTGTTGAAGAAGCTAAAAGTGATTTGTTAAAAGTGGCAARATGTTACCTAAAAGCCAATAGTGACATAACGCTAACTAAAAACAGCAAAACACCAGTTGAAAGGTAAAGGTAGCAAAAGGACAGCTCAAAGGAATATAAGACACAGAGCACGCACAGCGACTTACATTCTGAAGAGAACAATGTTTTTGAATGACTTACAGATCTCAGTGTATTCTATGGAGAACCTTTATTTTAATAAAGTTAAATATTTTGAAATGTCATAACAGCTACAAAAACTAAAAGTCAGAACCAGAATGTCCTGAATGAGCTAAAGCATCTAAGGGTGCACCAATGAGCACTAAACAGAAACATGAACACTATGGGGTGACTGCTGAATCAAAAGTGCACAATTACCCACTCATATGTTTTAAGTAATAAACCTGTTGTTCAGCATAAGCAGTTGAAACCTTTAAAGCCATTCGAAACCAGGCTACAACTCAGAGAACAAACACAGAWTACAATAAACGTTGTAGAAACACTTTTTGTCTAAACTTTGTTACTAAATGTGAGCCAACAGCAGAAAAAAAATCTACAAGTACGTTCTATAATACAGACAATAAGACCAGAGAAGAGTTATTTTCAGTCTCTGTGAACTTCTCTTTGACCCCTGCTCAGGAGGTTTAAGATGCTGAGAGTGAGAGTGCTATGTGGAAAGGAGCTAGGTTGCTCTCTGACCTGTGTAAAGAAACCAGCACCGGTATTCTGCCCCATCTATCTTGCATGAAAGACCACAGAGGATCTCCACCTACTGCACCAAATTATGGATCCAGACTCAGGAGGTGGACTTCCTCTGTAAGTATAACAATCATCCCCTCATGTGCTGCCCTGCTCTTTACTCACACAAGGGTTTTATATATGGGTGTGGTGGAGTCGATCCAGCTTCATTATGACTGACTGGTGAGAAAAAGTTGTGAGAGTCTAAAGGTCGCCACAGATATTGTCTTTAAACTTCAGCATCTACTGTTGGAAATAATCCTGTATGTCTGTTAGTCAAGTGTCAGTGGATGGATTTTATTGAAACTCCCAGTATTAATTAGATGTAAATCTACAGAATCAATCCAGTTCAAGATGGCCACCCCGACTAATCGATCTTAGCAAACAGAAAAAAACAGTTTTAACCCAGTCAGCTTTACAGACACTGAGTTAAGGTTTGATGTGACGGTAGCTAGAAGTCATCTGCAGCACATAACCTTACACATTTTGAG